TGTGTGTTTTTGTGTGTGTGTTTGTGTGTGTGTTTGTGTGTGTGTGTGTGTGTGTTTGTGTGTGTGTTTGTGTGTGTGTGTGTTTGTGTGTGTGTGTGTGCGTGTGTGTGTGCGTGTGTGTGTGGGTGTGGGTGTGAGCTCCGCGCCGCCGGAGCCCTCATTGCACTGGGACCGCGCGGATGGTCGCAAAAAGGTGTGTGTGAAAACAATACGGGTCACCCGCATCCACGCGCTTTGGAGGTGGAAGGTGCCGCGCTGAAGGCCGCAGAGCGACGCAAGCCTGCACATACCTTGAACTCGCGAGGGGCGGTCTCCGGTCCTAGGCTCCGAGATCGGAGGCCGCTGGAACATTGCCGCGCAATGATTTGTTGGCGAGCTAGTCCGGCTCCGAGCTCGCCGCGTACCGCCAGCAATGCCTTGCCCGAGCGACGGCCTCGCCACCAACGAAGGGCCCAACGGCTTGCGTTTCTGTGGCTCTAAATCGGGGGCACACGCCGGCGCAGTAGTAAGACCAATACAGCCGCGGCGTCTTGTTGCAGGCGGAGAAGTCCGTGCGGGAAAAATAGAAAGACTTCCGCTAACGGCATGGTGTGGCGAAGCTTGCCTTTTGAAGGTAAACTAGGGCCCGATTTGGTTTTGCCGGTGGCTTCTTCCATGCCCGACCTGTGTGGGCGGCGAGGTGTCCAACGCAAACGCCAGTGCTGAGCGGAATTGCATCAAAAGGGAATGCTGGGAGCTCAGCCAGTGCAGAAGTTTGGTTGAAGCCTATGTTTTCTCGGTGGTTCATGTTGTTCATGTTTCGCTTGCAGAATGGGCCATGAGAGGTGCACAAAATTGGTGGCTGTCAAGGTAGATATTGGTAGGAGCACGAAACATCTTTTGGCAGACACTTACGGGATGTTTCGGGGTTCGGGGGTGGCATATTAACTGCGCGCGCTGCTCTAAGGCCGAGGGCGTTGCATGTTCGAATGTATGGCGAGCGACCATGCAATTGCATGAGGCACAGCTAGCCAACCGTCCCTTGGCGCCGAGCCCTTGCGCAGCAAAGCTGTGGATGCTTTGCTTCAACAGCAGCAGGACACTGCAAACAGGACCGGTGTCGCACTGTTGATACAAAGTTCGTTTGATGACCTCAGTGGGTATCTCCTGTCTGGTCATTGCAGCACGCCAAGAGCCACTGAGCCTGTTCTTATAGAACACCTAGATTAATTTACCAGTCGGTGGTTGGAGTGTCATCGTGTGGAAGGAAGCCTGCGGGATTTTTTTGTAAGTGATTTACGCCATGGACCAAATGACTGGTAAAGGTTTGGCATCGTCAGGTATTTCGCATTTTGTTGTTTTGGGTTTTGCTTTCTTGCCGTTGCAAGCGGTACAAGTAGTGTAGGGCTGCAGTAGATGCGTGCAGGATCAGTTCCATCAACATGTGCTTGCAGCACAAAGCTCTCTACTATGTTGCCAAGAGCGTCATCGATGAGGATTTGCAGGCCTGTGCGGTGGATAGATCAGGAGATTACCGATCAGTGCAGGAAGCCAAGTACCCCTTTCATAACCGTGGTGAAATGTGTTGAGCCAGTTCATTGCCCCACAACATGCGGCTCAGGCATCTGCAATTGATTCGAAAGACTGTATGTTGTGTTATGGTTAATGAGGCCATCCCGCCAGCTGCGCTCACCACACCTGCATGCTGCAGCAGTTTTGCTTTCGTGAACGCTTTCATACATTGGTTTTGGAGCTTGTTTCCAAATACCGTACGTATTGCAAACAGGCAGACATAGACCGCCTCACCGAAGAAGGCGATGCAGAGAGCGTGGCTTGGACTCTTCAGCCGGTGATTGTTTGGTGCGCTTTGGTTAGTGAAGCTGGCAACTTGGGCAAGAGAAGGCTTCCGTGTCGACCCACACGTCAGGACATCGCACGCCGCATCGACACCTTTCCGGAATTGTTTGCCAAGCTCAACGCCTTGGGCGGGAGATGGGCAGCGCGTGACGTCGTTGTCGAACACACGCTCCAGGACATCGTTTTTGAAAGAATTGTTTGCTGCACTTCAATGAGGCTTGCAGGTTTTGCGCCGCATCGATGTTCGGTGTGGATAGGTGGCCTTGAATGGACCCAGGTCGAAACCTTCTCGGCTTGTACAAACTATGTATGCATGCACGTACACAGGGTAAATCACAGGCGGCGCCTTTGGCCAGGATGCCAACGGAACCCAGCCCAGTTTGCGGCTGGACCTCATCAATGAGGCGGAGACGCGATTCAAGCAGACGGTCCTCGGACGAGGTACGAAAACGTCTACTTATGGTCCCAAGCCAAGCGAAAGGGAGCTTCGTACGATGATTCAGGCATGAGACACTCACAGGACTCATATAGGTTGGCGTGTTAGGTGGAGCTTCGTGGATTGTTTTGCTTCTTCCCGAATGCGTAGCAGAAGGCATCTCGTTTTAAACGTTGGGGTTCCAAGGATGCAGGAGTTGACAAAATGCCGTGCGATTGCGCGAGACATGAATTTGTTTTGCTCGAACGTGGCGACGCATGTTCGCATTCGGGCTCGTGGCTCCTATCAGGTTTGGCTTACTGTAGGTGTCGGTAGCCAACTTCAAGTTTTTCAAGTTGGAGCCGCGAGGCCTCACAAGATGCTGGGTTTGGGGATTGTTCACGATCAGGCAACCACGACACTAGGCCCAGGCGGCCCTTGGGTTTGAGTCGAATCTCAAGCCCTGCACCCCAAAGCTTCCGACAGCATTGCTACGTTCCCCGACTGCGATGGCCAGGCAACGAGACTTTTGCCGAGGGCATCAACCAGCCCATTGTCGATTATTCAGAGGCCTGGGTTTTGGGCACTGTGTGAGAGGTTGTGCAAAGTTTGTCGGTCGTTTTGCCGGGTGTCGGCTGGTTGTCTGAGCAGCATCAAGATTAGGAGTTCCGTTGAAGCCTTGATGACCTTGAGCTGTTGTTTTGCAAAGTTGTGGCGCGACTCGGACTACTGCTAGCAGTAGGTTCACCAGGGCCTCGCGATTTTTGTGTTGTTGGAGGTGTGATGGATATTGCTGAAGTTTGTTTCGGTTGGCTTGTTCGACCAAGACGCACATTCTGTTAAACCTGTTAGGTTAGGGTTTTGCTTCCACGCAAGCGCCTTCGGGATCAATGCAGGAAGTTAGCGCTTCCTTCCTGCTGCAGATCAGGGACTCGAGTTCAGGTTCGTTGTTTTTGAATCAACAAGTTGAGTGCAGACCTGGACCTGGTTCGAAATTCCATCGGGTTGGCATCGCTTCGCAGCATGCTTTGCTGCCGAACCCTGGATCAAGAAGGTTTCACATAGTGAACATGTCCGAGTTGGTTTGTGGTGCGCGAACCAAGAAAGCGCGGTTACTGGAAGCTATAATGAACCACGCCTTGGTCCAGGACCTGCTGATCATCGACGCGACCTTCGGGATGGATTGGGGCCATACGACCTACAGAGCGCTAGGCCAAACCGGGTTGGGGGTCAAACGCTGTGACGGATTCGTTGTTTCCGCAATTACTTGGCCGACTACCAGCCAGGATAGGTCCTAAGGCAAAGTGAAATCGGAAACCGAGTTCGCGGCTGCAGTTGCATGTGTGACTTTCTCGTCGTTGCTAGGCCCACACTACACCATCTTCTATTCGCTCGACTTTGTCCAGCACTATGTCAACGTATCGTTGTGCTGCAAAACGCTTGGTTGCTTGACTGACCGTGGCATAGACCACTTCAGACCCTGCACCGCACCGACATCTAGATTAATTAGCTGATGTCACGCGAGGGCAAAACAGATGAAACAACACCTCAGAGCAATATGCCGAACCACACCAAGTGTAAGCGCCACAAAGCCCAAACCCCACAACTGCCTGTCGTGTTGCACGAAACTGCCGCGAATCCCACGATGAGGAAGGTTCAGCCTCGTGCCATCTTACTACCATATTGCACTGAGGCTGGATGGGCATGGGCTGGCTCGATCCAGCACGCGAAGGTGGCCCACTCATGCAGGACACAGACATGGTCGTGGCTGGGCAAGAGCAAATGATGTTTACTTGTTCGCATCGGCCAGTGTAGCTTTCTGCAAGTTGTTTCAATTACTGTACAAAATGGCCGTCGGAGACCGAGCTGGGTATTGAATTTTGTCGACCTCACCATTCCCCAGGTCGCTTATGTCAAGGATGGCCAAGCAGGGATAGAGGACCGCTTCGCCCGCTGGATCGAAGAGCCACTCAAGGACGGCCTAGCGGCCTAGTCGAGCCTAAGCCTTGCCGTACCCTCCGAGCGCTACCTGATCCCCCGTCCTGAAAACTGACAGGGCTCAGTCTGCAGGCTCCATACTGCATACCAATACGACTGTTAGGACCCCGGTTGGGTTACGGTACGGAAAGGGTTTTGTGTTTCCAGGCACTTCCATGAACCAAAAAACGAGACCCTGAAATCGCATCCTTGAGCGCTAGACGTGCCAGAAGATCCTAGTGGACCCTAGTGCCCGAGAATGGGTTCAGACGCTTCAGGGGTTTTCGCATGAACAGAAAATGCATGTGTATAAGCACACGTATAGTTTATATATATATATACATATGTATATGTCTTTTTTATGTATTTATGTATTTATGTATGTATATATCTACTCATTTATTTGTATTTGTATGTGTGTGTGTATGCATATGTGTTTATATACGAGCACACATAAGTCATATATATATATGTAGACTAGATAGATAGACAAATGGATGGATGGATGGATAGATATATAGATGTTGCTTGCGAAGATGATGGGTATCGGAGTTGGGCATGCCACTTAGTTCTGAGTTTCGAGCGGTTTAGTTCTGGTTCTACAGGATGTATTCGTCATGTATTCAGGACATGCAGGCACCTTGAAATGAGAGTTTTGCTTAAGGTGCGGCGTCCTTCCAGGGTTGTTTTCATAGAAGCCATGTGTGTTGAATAAGCTAAAATGGTCCTTTTTCCTACGACCTACGACTTGGGTAACCTTCAAACCTTGAAACCCCGACCAAAGGCCTTTGGACTCAGTACAAGAGTCGTTGACGAAGTCTTTTCCAGCCCTAAACCCTTAAACTTAGGGATACCCTGAAGCCCCGAACCCTGAACCCTAAGCCGCAGACGGACATAGTGCGAAGGACGAGCTGCTGCAAGGACAGCGATCCGACGACTTGGGGAAGCTTGGGGAGAACTGCGTAGGTCCGCGATCTTTCTGCCGAAGATAGGGTCTCAGGGGGGGCCCCATTGGCGCATCCTACCACTTGGGTTTTTCAGAGCATTGCTCCAAGACCCCCCTGGGTGCTGGCCTGCAGCGAGTGGACCAAGGAATCCGCTGAATGGTGCCAACGATCTTGAGCTCGTTCCAGGAGCACAGGACCTTGAGCCAGCAAGAAAACTATGTCACATTTCGCGTTTGAGAAAGATGTAGCATGCACCTCTGGGTATAGACCCAAATCAGTGAGGCCATGAAGAGTAGGATATTAATCAGGAGTCTGCATTACGACCCAAGCACCCTGATACCTGGGTTGGCCTCCTTTTCTTGGCAAAGCCTGTCTTGCAGATCCTTCGTCAGCGGTTTATACACGCTAAACACCGCGCTTTTTGCAGCATGGTCGATCATGTCTCTTCCGCTGTTGAGCATGCTGCAAATCACTGGGCCCTTGAGCTGTTAAAAGCAGAGTATGGCTGTAGCGATCGAGAAGATGCCGCTTGTGTTTTGCGACGTTCCTTGAGATTCCCATTTTTGCATGTTGGCTCGCCCCGTGGGAGGAGTGTTGGGCACATCTGGAAAAGAGTGGTGCCCGGATGATGCATGCAATCCGGGATTCAGTCTGGTGCCTGGGCTGAGCAAATGAGCCACCACTTACGGCAAGGCCTCGAATCCGCAGACCCGACACCCCGGAACGGCAAACTCTCAGCGGAGGCAGCATCTGAGGTTCAGGGAGTCCCTAGGTGTACGTACTAGTAAGGGTACACCGGTAAGAGACAGTAAACATGGATGCCGGAACATAACTTACAGTCTTTCTTATAAGCACAGGTCTCCAAAGGCCCACGAAAGTCCCTGCTGCAAGCGGGTTCAGTATACTTCCGCAAGCAACTTCATGGCTGTTTCAGGATTCGACCCATAGGCATGCGCAAGGTCTGTGCGCCTTGAACGAAGCGACTTGGCAAGTGCCGTTTAGACCAAGCGTTATGCATACCGATCACTTTAATTCTCGCCCGACTTAGTAAGTCCCCTGCTCCTTCAAGCACTTGCGTCCTCACCAACATGCAGTGGCGCAAAGTTGAGGTGCAATTCCGACGGAAGTTTATGACGGAAGACATCTCTGATATCGTTCTACCAGCGTCTTGGCCGGCATTCTGACGCTTTGAGCTTTTGCGCCACGCCCAGAACCTTTGATCTGCTCCACAATTCTTGTTGCTGTTGCGATACCGGGGGCCTGGCGGTTAGGACGGTGTATTGAACGCTGGACTGTACTATCTTTGGGTTGCAGATATGTTTCTACATACACGAGCTACATGTAGTACGCAAACGCCATCAGTGTGTGTATATATACATGCAGAGAGAGAGAGATGTCACAGAGCTTGCATAGGACAGACGTACTGCGGACTTGATGCTGTTCTGGGGAAAGCTAGCTATGCCACCGTCGCAAACCCGACACAAGATGAAATGAGCCTTCATCGGCCTCGGCTGGGTTTTGTCACGCTTCTCGGGGTTTTTGCCTAATGGAGGCGGGCTGGTTGCAAAAGACACCAGCTGCAAGAAAGCCGAAGCAAGTTAGCCACCCCCCGAGAGTGCCAGGTCAAGGCCTCCAAGATCGGTATTATCTTCTCTTTCGCCAAGACCGATCCCTTCGAGACTTACTTGGAGCAGCATTTGCCGACCTCCACCGGATACATTGACATTGCCTGGAATTTGGTCTGCGACCCGGGCTTGTACTTCGACATCACGGTCACGGAGCCTCGGCAGCCTTGTGCTTGCAGTGGCTTGGGATGGGGGGGGTCAAAAAGAGGTATGAAGCGGTTCTACGACAATGGCAAGCTGGGGAGACGTGGGGGAAGCCATGCTTGGTCAAGGGTTCTGGGACCATCACAAGCATGTTGGTGTGGTTGTAGGCATCTTCCACAGCCAGCGCCTGGAACTATCCCAACTTGCATACGGCAGCAGCAGAAAAGGAAACGGAAAGCTGCTTACAAGCCATTACAAGCAATGAAAGCAGAAGCCAGTTGGTTTCATGTTGCACAGGCCATGTCTGGAAACTCAACCCAATGTGCGACAAGTCTTAGTTTCTTCCTTGGTCTGTATAGAAGCAGTCATACACGCACACACGCACTTATAAATATATCATGCAGTGTGCATGTTACGTCTATATATGTATGTCTGTGTGCGTACATGTAAACATGCACACGCAGTTTAACGGTTGCTGCTATTGCTTTTCGGGGATGTTGAAAGCGAGACCTGCCGCGTTGCCTCGAGGAGTGCAAACCTTGTGAGAAGGGCTTCTTCCGACCTGCCACTCAGCCAATGGGAGAACGTTTTCGATTCTTTTCATCGCCTATGTTTGGTGTAAACTCCTCGAGCTCCTAATCAGTGATGTATACTGAAGAATGTTAAATTTCAATGGTTTAGATTTTGAAATTGAGTTATTGACGAAGAAAGGACAACACCTCGGTGTTTACCTGCCTCAGGGCACCGCCGGGGACCTTCCAGAGCCTTTCCTACACAAGCGCATGTAGGAGTTCAAGATGTAGGGTAGTAGGGAACAGGGCTTAGGGTGCAGGACGTAGGGTTCAATGCCTAGGTTTCAAGGTCAGGGTGTATCCCTCCGCATCCGGGAATCCACAGAAAACATCGAAGTCTGAATGATTGCTATATTTCTGTCTCCTTATAGTCCGCTGTATGATGAGAGTATACTTTACCACAAAAGACCAGACGCTTGTCTCCCTAAAGTGGACCAGGTCGGCTCTAGTCAGCCCAGACCAACCGAGTGTATGAAATGCGTTGGTCAGCCAGACGGCCATGAAGAATGAGGTGCGCGCCACGCGAAACAGCGGCTGCTGCTAGTCCGGAGGTGCCAGCAAAATAGCAACGCAGAATCCTTGCAAACAGCATTGAACATGGACAACGAGACACGTTCAAACAGGTTCTCGACCATATCCGTTCATGCAGCACGCAGCACAAAATACAAATTCAACTAACGTCCAGCACAAACTCCGGGCATGCAGTAGGGGGTAGCCAGTCTAGACCTCTGTCGGAAGACGGGAAGCTTGTTTCCAATTTAGTTGTTCAATTATGCCATGTTTTTCGTGAAGAGCAACACGGCGATGAGAACGGCATGCACGCGCTGACATGCCCCGACGTGAACAACGGGTGCTGCAGCTGTCCATATGACATGCCAGCATCCAGCACAGAGTATCCACCCGCAGTAAGGAACATGGAGACTTCAGTTGTCCCAAATAGCATGGGGGATCCCAAAAACGCCCGTGCCTTGAAACATGGAAGACACCAAGCAAAAATCATGGCACGTAGTATAGGGCATCCCCATCAAAATCCTGAGCAGAAGTATGGATGGGTCATTCAGGGCGGAGGAGCTGATTTCGCGTTGTGATTGATGTACAGCATGTGTGCAAGGTCCAATGTAATGTTTTCGCTGCTCCTACTGCCGGAAGCTGCCTGAAGCATTCAGGCGATGGGCTAGGAGTGTATGGACTAGACCTTGAAGGAACTCGCAACCACCGCAAAGCCAGCCAAAGCGAACTCGAAGCTGTACATCCTACAAACGCAACACCTTGTCGAAAGGATTTCGCTGGAGCGCGACCTAATCAGCTAAGCGGGTGGGAGCAAGCTAATGTGCCGCAATCATGCCATTCTAAGAGCCAGAATCCCAAGCACCTGATTCGGGAAACTCTACAACTCCACAAGCCCAGAAAGCCCTCACGTCCAATCCGAGGAATGAGACGGGGCAGGCAAGCGCCAAGCCGTGCAAGCGGGGCTTCACCACCTTCACAGCGGGAGCCACGCAGGAGTTCGCTTCCTGCCATGACATGAAGAACAAAAGAAGCGATTCAGAAGCGCCAGGGGGTCGCTCTGAGCCTTCGCGACTCTGCTTCTCAGTAGGACACCCTTCACATTTAAACTTAGATCCCAAGACGACCACGAAGCTTCAGGTTGTGGCTTGCTGTGATGGGGATGTCGGCAAAAGTGGCACAATGATAGTTCCGTTCTAGGTGTAGTTATCACATAGATATATGTGTATCGAGCCAGCCAGTGCACACCTCAGTAGACCCTTAGACCTTGTGCCACAACCTCTAACTCCAAACGGGAGTCGCTTTCAGTTCACTCAGCGAAACGGGTGGCAACCGCAGCAGGTAAGATGAACACAAAACCCTAAAATCCCAAGCCCCCAAACCAACAGAATCCTGTGAACCCCAAACCCCAATTAACAGCCTTCGAAGCTTTCCGAATTCGAGGCTTGCGTCTGCCCGGGCCCTTCTTTGACAGTGCCCAGTGGGAGGTGCGACAAGCCGATGTTTGTGTAAAGGGCGGACAGGACAGGATCCGTTTTGGGTATCTGGGTGGTTCAGTCGTAAGGCTTGCCGCTTCTGGACAGGTGTCCCTCAAACGCCAGAATCAAAGCTTCAGGTACCACGTTGACATCTGCGGAGGTGCCTGAGCTCTTATCTATGGGTTCATGACATGAGTTCCACGGTCTTGTCGCTGTCTGTTAGGCAAGAGCTTGGATGGTGCTTTTTGCGACGTGTCTTCAAGCCTCAAGGTTCTTTCCGAAGGGTGCCGGAGTTTTGGCTCAGGTACTCCCAGGACAGATGCCCGGGGCGCTCTGAGGGCTTGTGCTCAGCTCGGGGACTGCGTCGAATGCCCAGAAGCCACCCGGGCCTCAACCGGCAGTTTGGGATTTGAAGGGGGCATACAGTTGTCTTGCGGATTCCAAGTTTCGCAGAGAGCTTGGAGCCATACGGCAAAACTTTGGGGCACTGCAGTTCGAACCTTTCGCCATGGGGCTAGCAGCTGTGCAGGTGCAAAGTCGTCGCAAGATGATGAAGATAATTTTGCAGGAATCGGAACTTGTGCGGCCGGTAGATGCCTTTTCTGCGGTCTCAATACCTAAAACCATGGTGGCCTGAGGGCATGATCTGCGAGGGCGCCAGAGACGTGGCGAACGCAGGGCTCCAAGACAGGAGTCAATGTATGCGATTGCCAGTAGCTATTTGCCAGTCTGATTCCCACACATACATCTGGAACCAGGGCAAGTACAGCACATACCTAGGTGTTATAGAAATAGATGTACAGAGATAAATATCATTCAGAGAGATGGATAGATGAACGGAGAGTTAGTGTATAGTGTATACATGGGTGATCCTGTGTGTGTGTGTGTGTCGGTCGGTCGGTCGGCCCCGGGTCTCGCGCGCTGCAGGCATCGGATCCAGCTGTGAGAGAACGCATCGCAGCCTTTTGCTCTTCGTATGCCTTCGCTGACACGGAGGACCGACCAGTCGAGACAAGTGCCTCCGTGTACATAGACACTGAAGGCAGAGTCAGACAGCTCGGCAGCTGTTTTTTTCTGAAAGCCGATGCGACAAGCAGACAAGCTTGCCTTTGCAGCTTGTTCGTGGATACAGCATACGTAAGCACAACTATGACTGCTTCAGAATACATCCGTGCAAGGAGTAACGTGTTTACGAGACAAAGAAGCCCTTGGATTAGAGATCTTTGGTCCGTCCTTGGTGCCGCCAGGCCTGCACCTCCAGAGTGTACTGCGAGGCCAATCTCGAGGACCTGAAAATGTCGGGCGGTCGAAGTCTCTCCCGACGCCTGAAGGCTGAAGCTGAAAACGAGAGAGGCCTCAACCATGAAGCCTCAAGATCTCAAACTCCGGTTCGAAGATGGGCACCCTGGGGCTTCCAAGGTTAAGATTGTCACGAAATTGGGACGCTGGTGAGGTTTGAGCTTGGGCTTTGGTCGTTACTTGAGGATCGAGACAGTGAAGACTTTCGGTTCTTGTGTTAGAACACGAATGTGTCAGCGTCGACGTGCATGCCACGCGACTAAAAGATGATGCCCGGACAATGAAATCATAGGCCTCCGACCCTCAAGCCCGGGCCAATTCATGACAACGCGACGTCAAGAGTCAAGAGATGGCACTGCTTGTAGATCGACGCTTCAGGTTCAAGACTCCAGGGGCAAGGGTTCAAGCTTCTATCGCAGGGCCGCGGGCTTTCAGGACACAGCTTGTGACCACGCGCCCCCGAAGCTGCTTCCAGGCCCAGGATTTCAGACCGGTTATGTCTGCGGATCCTTCTTGACGTTTAGTGCCTCGCATTGCCCAGAAGCTCCAGAATCCCGTTCGCAGATAGAGTGAGTAGGCATCGGTTAGGAACAAGACCGCCAGTCATTCAAGGACTCTTCCTTGCGCAAGTGGGGTACAACCAAAGCCCGGACCAAGCATCGTCTCCTCTTGTCTGTTCACAGGCTACTGGTCCAGCCCAGACGACCCATTGTCAGTGTCGCTCGAAGTGCAGATAAGCTGTTCTCTTGACCGGTGTCTAGACTTCCCGCGCGATTGCGAGTGCTGTTGTGTTTCAATCGAATGATCCTGGTCATCAGCTTCAACCCAGCCTCATGCCAAGACAAGCTGGAGGCCCTGGACGCTAAGCCACCGGAGCCAAGGTACACCTGCGCGAGCGAGTTCCATTGTCGTGGTGGCCCGCCGGGTGAGGTCTGCGCAAGTGGGCGTCGGGTGCACCAGCAGAAGTTTAGTGGCGGAGTCGAAGCTTTCTGGTGATATCAGGGTTCGAGTTGTCCCGCCTTCGGGCTGCAGGATAAAGTTTAGAGATGGATCCGCTGTGCAACGGGCAAAGGGCTGATGCACGAATCTTCACTGCGCAACATGGAAGCATTGAGAGTGAAGTTCCTTGAAATGCTAGCCCTGGGAGCCAAACCCAGCTTTGACGTGTTTTCAGAGTGGAAGTCCAGTCCGGCCACGAGACGAAGAAGTGCAGAGAACAGAAAAAGCCTTGCGACTGAAACTTTGTTCCAGGACTGAACTTGAATCTGTCAGGTGGGGTGCCTCTGTAGTTCAACATGCGGAGCATTCGGGGTCTAATCCCCCGGCCCCTCGGGAGAAAGTCCGACAACCAGGACAAGTATGGATGATGGGTGAGAAATGTGTGTCTTTCCGAAAAACCTTTCCCACACAAATGCACATGCTGTTTGTACACAGCGGCATCCAGGGGCAGCCAGGGAGACAGAGAGACACGGAGAGACCGAGAGCGGGTTCCTTGAACTCAGGATGTCGCCTGTGGCCTTTGCAAAGCAAACTACCACGGCGGCGACCAAGGAACCTGCCTGGTCCTTACCTCCGCTCTGACGTGCTGAGGGCTGCGCCTGCGACAATCCCGTAGGCCTGGCTCCTCTAGGCTCCTCCAGACGTGTTGCCTTCGGTTTGTCAGGCAAGGAGAGCATGAATGTTCTGTGGACAGTGGGGACAGGTTTGCATTTGCACAGTGGGAACGACCAAAACCTCGTAGCCGTTCTCAGGCATCCCATGCGAATCCACGGACATGGTGCCCGGGATTCTCGCCTTGACTGCATGTGTCCTCGTGGCCATTGCTGTGTCCATCAGGATGCACCCGGGCTGCCTATGTGTCCTGGGGTACTGCAATTGCTCCAAACCACCGTCAGCTTGATGGAGGAACCTCACAGATGTGTCGTACGACACTGCCTCCTTGATGTTTCTTCCTTATATTCAGTAGGACTAACAATACCCATCATCGTCTAATCGACCCCTTGCCAAATTCTGACAGTTCAGCCCTTATGCGGGGACTAAAATGCTGAGCATACTCATTTCCATTGCTTAACAGATGCTCGTCGTCAACAGACTCAAAAGACTGTTGAGAAAAGTTCTTGCTCCGGGCACGCACCTCAATGTCCTCTATTGGTTCATGAGACGGGGCCTCGTGCCTGGTTTTCGCATTGATTATCAGACCTCACAGCGGACGAAAACATGCCAATGTCTCCGGCGTTAGTATGCACGGAGGAGGAGACAAGGGAGAGTTGAGTGGGTGTACGTGCGAGGGCCTTTGCATGTTGCCTGACGAGGTTCCCCCGATGGCAACTCTAAGCCCTTGAGTGTAGAGTAGAACCAAGAGCTAGGGCTTCGACAAGTGAGGCGATCACACCTCACGAAGAATTCCAAAGCGGTGCTGTCCTTGGGGATCATCCTCTCTCAAGCGGGAGTGCCTTCGCGCGAAGAGTCTTTGCTAGGAGATTCCGTGGCTCTGCACGGGCTTGTTGGGTGAAGGAGTAACGCCGAAGTTGCTGTGATGTCTCTCTGAGGAACCACCCCTAATAGCTCTCAACGTGAGATCTCGGATGTTCCTAAGCCTGACTGCATGTTGTTGGATGTGGCGTGTTTGAGGCTCCCTGGCTTCAATCAACGACAGCCCGACTAGACAAAAACATCTCTAAGTCGAAGCCGGGGAAAAAAGGAGTGATGTTCTTGGGTGATTCGGGCTTTTGCTTTCTGTAGAGTTTGAGCATTCGGACTTTGGGGTTTGCAGGGTCTCTGAGGGTTCAAGCTGAAATGTGGATTCTGGCAGACTCACATTACATGCAGGAGCTGGGCCTTTCTAGTTTGTCAGTTTACGGTTGACATGATTTGCACAGCCTACGCTCATGCTTGGCAACAGTTCGACAGTGGCGCAAGCCCACCCAAAGCCAAGCACCCAGGGCTCGCGCCAAGCATGTGATTCATGCCTATTTCTCTTGGCGCGACCATCACTCTTTGATGGACAACCTATCATAGATCCTTCTTGGTCAGCGTCAAGGTGTCTTCAATGAAACCGCCATGGTGGTTGCAAATTCACGTGCTAGAAGGAGTGCACCATAGCTTCAAGGATTGAGGGCGTGGTCGGACTGCGACCCAGGTCTTGGTGCAGACACTTGGAGTCCTGTCTGCAATTGCTACGCATTTACATCTGCCTCGCACCGGATTTCGAGGGTTCGTCGTCTCGTGACGACGCACAGGTGCTGGCTGCTCATTCACAGGATTTCGATGCCGTCTTTGGCTGGGTCGGCAGTGGTGGTTATCTGTAGGAAGTAGTTGCTGCACACAGTCATGTACCCACCTTGTACTGATGGAGGCTAGAGTCAAGAAAACCCTTGGTCAATCGGCGCCTTGATGGCCCTCAAAACGTGAGAGAGAGAGAGAGAGAGACTCCTGTCACATTCACAAGATCGCGGACCTAACTTTTCGACAGAGATGCTCGGAGTCGAGGGCATGGCCAATGCAGCCACGACAAACGTGTCAGCAGCATGTTAGGGCCTGGGCACAGAGTCGTCAAGTTGCAGCGGACTTGCAATGGTTGCGTGGTTGCCTGTTTGGTTAGCATACAAATGGGATAAAGCCGATAAAGCTCCTGCTAAAGCCCCGTGAGCACCGAGCCCATAAACACTTGGTTGCAGAACAAGTTTGCAAGCGCAGACGCAAGCACACGCGAGGAGCGGCTTGATTCAATGATGTAGCACCTTAAACCGGGAACCCTGAATCCTAAACCCGCGGTTTCTTTCAGCAAGAGCGTGGGTGCGTTTTGTTTCTACGCACTTTAGGAGTACTATGCGCCAGGTTGTTTATTCTCCTTCCTAAAACAACCCCCCATGAACCGATGGACACTTAGTGTGTTTTGAAGCAGATGAGCAATGTCTCAATCTTCAGTCGTGTGGTAGTCGTACAATGACTGAGCTAACTTTGCATTTGTTGGCTGGTGTAGGGTCTTAGCATGGTTCTGGTCGTTTCTTGTGCGCAGTCTCCGTCATTGATGCGAGCTTGGATTGTGTGGGGCCTTGCCTGCCTCGTGCGAGTGTGAGAAGAGTCGCAGCCCCCTAAGAACCGTCAAAACCCCTAATCTAATCTCTAGGATGCTTCTTGTGTCGCTTTGTCTTGGGGTTGAGAACTGAGGCGTCTTCTCTGACCTGACCATGGTTTGGGAAGAGCCTGTGAAGACCCTTCTGGAGCTGATGCAGCTGGTGAACCTGGACCTCTCCATTTTAAGAATCCAGTGCATGGCGCCTTGCCGGCCAAAAGGCTCCCAGTTCTAAAAAGCACCCATCATAATAACGTGCAATCATCGTGTTTTGCCCAAACTGTTCAAAAGCTGATGGCTCCCCTCCGTCCTTGGCGGCGTTCTCCAGCCTGTGGGGTCGGGCTCAAGATCCAAATTCTAGAGGATCCAGGGCCCGCCGTCTTTGAGGCCGCAACGGGCTTGTAGATGCAGGGAGGCCGTTCCATTCGGGATTAAGTATTCCCATTTCGGAGCTGTCAGCTCGTTTCCAAGGAGGTGCATGTTTCGATAACCATGCTAACAAAACCAGCTTCAGGACAATTTTACATAGAGCAACGTAGAGCAGTTTGTATCTGCTTTATTAGGGGTTGCAGAAAGCTGAAACGGCTCCATGTTGGCATTCAAGCAGCCTCACCAGACTTATCCTGACATTGCTTTACGTCTGGGTCTTAGAGTATTGCGATCTTCAGGCCTGTGGGTTTCTGAGTTTCGGCGGTTGGGGACTTTAGGGGTTTAGGGCTTTGGGGGTTTCGGTATTTTGGAGCTTTAGGGGTTTCGGGTTCCGGTATTTTGGGTTAGATGGACCGGCGCCCATTCGACTACCATGAGTGCCGATAAGGCGTCTTGCCTTGCGTTTGGTGCTTGTCTCTCAGGTGGGAAACGAAGACCCGGCGCTCTCCGTGATGATGACGCTTGGCAAAGGAAGCAGCCCACGAACAAAAGGGGGGGGAACGGGGGAACTTCAGGATGCTTGGAAGGCGAAAGGTGCAACAAATCGTGCTTCCTGTCTCAAATACATACAGAAGTTGCCCAAGGCAATCGTGCGCAGACGGGAGTTGAGAGCGGAATTCAAAGCGTGCAAAGCAAAGTGATATGCAGTTTTCTTGTTCTGTCGTTCCACGACTCAGGATTCTGCTTACGCTGCCGGGGCTCTGCATCCTGGGTGGTCTCATGGGCTGGATGCTGTCTCGCTACAAGGGCGAGTCCTTCAGCTGGCCGCGCTATCTGCCTCTTGGCGCACTTGGCGCACTCGCACTCTCTTGAGGATTTGCCGTTTGTCTCTCAGTGCGAAGCTTTGCTCGTCCTGAAAGCTGGAGATTCCCAGCTGGAAACAGCACAGGAATGTGGTGGGACTCTTGGTGATGTTTGGCTACCTCGCGGTGTGCATGGCCTTGTCTCGCCCGATCCACTGCGTGTCGAACCCCAACGGCACCCAGAGCATGAAATCTTTCCCTGCCCAAGTTTGCTGGACTGCTGCTTGGTCGCTCTTGAAAATCAGTTTTGCATCCTTGAGTATTGAACACCCACATATAGAATCCCAAACTCCAAAAAAACCCAGGCCCATTTTTAGCATCAGCACCCAGGATTCTCACACGCCGGCGGCGATTGAAGCGATTTTCGGATTGACGGTTTTTGGCTTGGGCTTTCTTGCGTACATCATGCAGGCCGGGAGAATGGAAAAGTAAGGGCTCCGATATTATTACTATTGTTGATTATTGTTAGTGTCGTTATTCTTTTTTGCTACATAGAAGGATTCCTGTGAAGTGTTGTCAAAGGGTTTCTTTAAAGCAGGGTCCTTGTGCTGGGGGACCCGCTTGTGTAGGGTCAGCATCAGAGCATTAAGGTTCCGGGCAAAAAAGCGTCATAGTCCTGAGTCCTGAATGGGTTTCAGCAAAAGGAGCAGGATCCTCATCGTAAGGGGGCCCTTTGACACCCCTGGCACGTAAGCCTTTGGTCTCAGAGACGCACAAGGCCGCAGCAACCGGAAAGGAAGTAGGTCAGCCAGACCATAGCCCGTTATCTCTACTTGAGGTGGTTTGGCGATATCCATCTCTGGTGGACACTGGCCACGGGTTGAAGCTGCTGACACAGTATCACTTCTTGCCCCTCACCTGCACTACACCTCAAAATGCTTGGCTCCTTTCCGACGAAAGTCGATGTTGTTGTGCTGCGGACTGCCTGCTTTTCTCTTCTTCCTGTCCGTAAGCATCTAGTTTGATCTAGGGTTTAGAGCTTCCGCCCAAAGCCGCCTGTGGTCCACTACACCTTCGGGTTCAGACACTTGAATAGAGCAGGCCTCGTGACTTTGCCTTGACGCCTTGGCGCAGTTCGGGCGCACAGCTTCACTGTTAGCGGACTTCCGATGCAAGTGTTTCCTACTCTAGCTTCGGCTTTCTGTCGGGCTGAGTTGCTGGAGACTCGCGAAGCCTCACGGAAGGCACTGTACTCTCAAACATCTGTTGTTGCTTTGCCCTTTCTCACGACAACACATCCCTCAGTTTCCCTGGTTTAACTAAGGAGCTTTGATTGGAACGGTCCTGAACCAGCCCTTGGCCCGAAGACATTTTTGCTTCGACTTCGACTCCAATTGCCTCGCCAAGGTTCAACCGCTTCGGGAGCCACGCCTACTATTGGGGCCACCTGGCCAGGAGTATCCTAAGCTGTTGAATGATTGGGAATGTAGGTACATGGGAGGATGGGTGAGCGAATAACAAAACGGCATGACGTGCATGGTGATGAAGATACAGAAATACACATGCACGAACATGGGCGGAGGCATAGCCTTTGAGGTATATGCGTTCTCGCATTTATGTAAACAGCGTAGGCATATCATGGGCTGACGCGGGTACATAAACTGCCGATTCAGGCTCTGTTTTGCCCTTTGCTTGGAGGCTCTGCGGGAGGTCTGAACAGGTTTGTGCACCATCATCTTGAACGTTTGGGGTCTCGGAGTCATCGTCATCTTAAGGGATCCTCGGCACCCAGCATGCTCAGCTTTGGTATTGCTCATTGCTGCTAGTCTCATGACTGTCACGGCTACGGTGCTGTATCTCGCAAGGCTTGCATCTTTGCACACAAAACTCAACAAATGTCGGGAGGTGTACTGAAAATGTCGGGAGGTGTACTGAAAATGATCTCGCCAGCATCGTTCCTTTTGTACGGATCGACCTGCGAAGTGTCGTTTGTTCCTTGGACAAGGCCCGAATATCTACCTCTAGTGACCAATCCTCGCCAGTGTCATTCAGCCCTGACCCACTTCTCAACGGCCTTGCACCCAGGTCCTTACTTCATACTGCAGAAGCTACTTGTGGCGATTGTGCCGATCGTTTTTGCAGACAGCGCCATCGTGCAGATCATGCTTCTGTCCCTGCTGATGGCGACCTCGTTCGCAGAATCACAGCGGCCGCAGTCCTCTTCCTGTCCTTTTGCAGAGCATGATTTGGGATCTTATGGTTGCAGAAGCTAGGATAATGATGTGTTGCTTTCGATACAGGAGCCGGACCTGCGAGCGTTGCATCTGAAATACGCGTTGGCTCCCATCGGGCTTATGTCAACTCGAGGGCTTGTCGATTGGGGACCCTGTCAGCGCGGGGCTCTTTGCCCCAGGCCTCCAATCCCGCTGCATTTCTGCGATTCGGAAGGACGGGGTAAAGTTAGTAAAGTTAAAGCCTTCAGCACTGTGTGCCAGCTCGTCTCCCGGTCGTTGCATGGAGATGACTCATTTTCCTTACCCGACAAGCCGTGGTAGCTTCTTTCGGTCGATGCTTACACCAGCTCCCTCCGAGGACTGACTTACCTGTAATCCCTTCACCCCCGGTTGTCAGGATTGGGGGCTCTTTTTTTGAGTATGCAAACCTTCTCTTGAATTGTGCGTCTTTCGGAGTTTGGGCTGGGTCACACGAGGCTTTGTGATGCTGGAGTGGGCCTGAGGTGATCTACTTAGCGACCTGCTGCCACGTCAAGCCATGGGCGACAGACTTGGCCAATCTGGCGGACGTCTTCCTGAACATGGGGCTGATGCTTCAAGATGCTTGTTGGGATGCATTTTCGTTCGGTGAGTAGTTTCCAACCAAGAAGACCCTCCAGACAAGCACCACCCGCATAAATGCCTGCAAACCCTAGCAACGTCTAGGCTGATGCTGCTGATAGCTGCCTTCCTTGCAGATTCTGCCGGCCGAGACAGCAGGACGCTAGGTTTAGCGTTTCTAGCGAGGATCGAAGGGGCTTTGGAAGTCAAAGAAACTTACAACGATGCTACACGATTCTAAAGGGCGTTCCTTTCGGTTGAGAGCTTAACTCATGGAGGAGAGGAAACGGGAGAGGAAGAGAGAGAGAGATAGAGAGGGAGAGCGCGACAGTTTGTTAGGGTTGAGCCTTCAGAGCATGGCTTTAGGTTTAGGCTTGAGGGTATGGTTTTTCGGTTAGGGCTTAGGTACTGCTTAAGTTCGGGGCCTAATGACTTCGAAACGCGAGCATCCATTGCACGATGGCTGTACTATCTATAGATAATAGATATGCAGTACATACTAGCCATACATACTCGGACATAGATACATGCATACATACATACATACATACAGACACAGAGACATACACAACATACATACAGACCTACATAAATAAAACGTGCATCGGTATTCTTGCATTACTTAACACTCAGAATCGACTCTTGCCGATGCAGCACTCTTGCTTTGGCCAGGAGCAGACTAAGCGTCATCCTCGTCATCATGCTCCTGAAAATCTGCTTTGGCATCGCCTCCTTGGCAGGCTACGCAGTCTACAAGAAGCTCTTCCCAGGCGCCTTGCCTACCGAAAGATGAGCCAGTCTCAGGCCCTACACAAACCCGAAAATCTAGAACTTTGTGGAAACGGCCAGCCCAGCCTAAGACCTCGAAAGACTGAGGCATGCCGAAACTACTAAACCCATGCCCAGGGCTCCTGCATGGCCCGAGCTTGGCAATGCCGAAACGATGCATTGTCACGCTGGCAGTCCCTAAGATTTGCCATAGTTCAGAACGGCATCCAGAGTCTAAGAGAGTGGTGCTGGTTCGGGACTTGCAGTAAGTTGAGTGTTGCATTTTACTCATTTCTGTGTGGTTGCAGCACGTATCGCTGAAGCTCGTTGGTGCATTAACATAAGTAACGTTACACATGGGCCGGAAGCTTAATCCCAAGAAAGTACCAGACCGGATCACTCGCTGGCTTTACATGAATGCTGTAGGGAACCGGAATACTACAGCTTAGTTAAACTCGACATATTCCTCATGGCTATACAACACTACTGCAGGGAGCCCGAAAACAAGCTAATGGAGAATTGGCCCGCTGCCACACCAGCCAGGCAAGCTTGTGTTCCCCGAGCCTCGCTCAGCCCTTTTCGAAACATTGCCATGGAACCCAAAAAACACCCTCCTTAAAAGCCTGATGGCATAACCCTAAAACCAACATCCAGGCAAGATGTACGACTACTTCCTCTGCCATCACAAAGCAGGTTGGGAGTCTGCCGAAGCCCTTGAGAACGTCGGGCTTGCGGAACTAGGGACTGCCGCAACAATGTCAAGGTTAATTCGGCTCCTACTGCATGTCCTTTAAAATCAAATAAGAACCGCATTCTGCACACTAACTCTTAAGGCCCCTGACAGATTTTCAGTTCCAGCTTCGGAACAGCGTCAGAGTGCGGGACCAAGAGAGCCCAAGGGTTTTCCTGAATTTGCATTCAGTGTCCATGCATATGCACATAAGCATATGTCGAGTATATTTATAGCTAAGTTGTGTTCCTTCATTGAGTGACCGGCATTGAGAGCTGGTGAAGAAATGGAGGGTTTGGAAGCGGAAGCAGGCAGCACCACCACTTGGTAGCTCAACGCTTCACAGTCCCTCCTAGACGCCCTCGATCCGGATACCTTGCGCAACATAACAGGTGCGGGAACACTTTGCCGATGGTTGAAGACTGAGATGCTGAAACAGCCTCTCGTCGCAAAGCTTAGAGCTTGGACGAAATCTCCAAGCCCAAAGTTTGCTGGGTGCTGGGTTGGTTTGGAGTTCGAACATATCCGGATAAACCCTCACGCACTGTGTGTCTGTGTGGGGGGTAGGGGGGGAGTGTGCGACAGCCTCAAGGGTTCCAAGGGCCGGCCTTTTTTCGGAAGCAGGCGAGATTGTAGTTTTTCTCAAGCATGTAAAGTGGCAGGGTTGCCTTCCCATAAGCTTATGTTTCAACCCGAGCTAAGTATCCTCCAGAAGAACTGTCGATGTCAGGTCGAAGAACAGAGCAAAGGTCTTCCTGGACTCTGAGCCTTTCCGGCACGGGGGTTCGAACCACTTTCCAGGATTGGCGGGGGTTTGTAGATTCTAGGTGGGTGTGAGTATGAGAAGACATACGTCGACATAAGTCCATTGGTACTTCGTCTGAAGTTTTAGCGCGTGTTGTTTAGGTCGAGCCTCAGCCGTAAACTGCGTCGTCGAGCTTTCGGTAACTTGAGCGGTTCGAGGTGTTTGAAGGCGGCAGTGTTCGCATGTCAAGACTTCAATTAAAAAGCTTCGTTTACTAACTCGACCCCACAGCCCAAAGCACCTCGAGATCCGATTCTGAGCCGTCCGAGCCTTGCTCAAGCGCGAAGCGAGAGGGAATCAACGTGCCGAGGTTCAGAAAGCTGTGCTTGCACCAGCCGATTCAAGACTGGAAACCAGGGTGTCAAAAATAAGCATAAAGCCCTCACCATGCCGTCTGCATAACGGAGTCAGAGTGTAAGAGTTCGGTGCTTAGACGTGCCGTCAACTGCCTGCCAGGAGGCAGGGACTAGGAAAAGAGCGTTAGGCCAGCGCACGCCGTGGCACAGTCCCGCTCGAGCACCTCCCCCATTGCCGTGTGTGTTTCCGGGTGCTGTTGCTTGCAAATCATGCTTCCACCAGGGTTTATTTTTTGCATTCAAACTCCTCGAAGTCCCTGAAGTCCTAGTGGGGCCATGCTATTAGCCTCCTCAGGGCTCCTGGGTGTGCTCTCGAGATCCTGCCGTTCAAGGGGTTTTGGAATATTCCGAAGTTGGCGCTTCCGCTGGTCTTGGGAGCTCAGGCTCCTGGAATGGTCCTCGGTACTTGCTAGGCATTCCTTCGCTGGCATAGTTCGTTTTCGCCCGAACGCCCTGCAGACGAAGCTTTAGACCGCGAACTGCTGGGAGCCAAGGACGAACTTGAGGGATTGGCAGAAACTTGGCTAAAAAATGGTTTCAGTTTAAGCTGTCCGATCGCTTTCTGGCTGGTGCTCTGCGATGCCGGTCTGCCCATTTCCAGGCGGCTAGGTTTGTAGGCAAGCGCTAAGACTCATGCTGGCAGGTTCACTGATCCAGCCACATGTCTTCACAAGCTGCGGCTGCAACTTTCTCCTTAATCAATCAATATGCTTGGCATAGCAACGAAGGACATCGGTGATATTGTCAAGAGCCAGACTGGCACACTGGTCATTGTTGCGACGAAATCTGTGCTGTCCCGACCGTGGTGTGCCATGGAAATCACCAGCGGTGTCAACAACAAGATCGACATTGTGATGGTGCCTCGGAAGCTGTCACAATGGGAAGGAAAACCAAGACCAAAACGCTCCGGAGACGGAAACAATAGCTGGTATGGACAGTAGCACACCCGGAAGTCTGCTGAGGATCAGGGATGCTGGACACGGTTCAAGAACTGGCATCGAGATCGAACGATGCAGCAAAGTTGTCCAGTTTCCTGAAAAACTCCAGGTAGAGTGCAACAACTTCAGCCACTACGACGAGGAAGGCTTTAGGGCCTTGCGTGAAGGCACTGGAAACAATCTTGGAATGGGGTTCCTTTTGGGGCTGCCGGGACACGCTGCAACCGAGGGTATCTCACTACTGCAGCACTGGGTTGGCTGTTGCGTAGCAGAGTGTGTTTCTCCATAGATTTCAAGGGGCGTATCTGTATGCAGCGGAGGACTAGCAGCCACAAAGCTACTAAGAGCATGCTTCCGTTGGACGTCGAGTTTGTCTTTTCATACACCTGCGAAAATCGATCACCCTGAAGACTCCGGTGGGTGGCTCTGGTTGCTGCATAAGCCTAGTCCCGAAGCGGCTCGCTTCACGAGCGGTTGTGCAATGGAAAGCAGTGACTCCAAAAGTGTTCCAGGTAGAACTACGTCCTGCACGGTGCCTCCAATTCGAGATAACGACACAGCTTGCCGCAGGCTGGGGCAGTGCCGACATCATGATATTCGCGCAGAATGCAATCGACCCCGGAGTGGTCGAGGACACATCCACATAAAGCGCTGTATGTGAAGCACTGCCTCGCGACGCCACAAAGTTGCATGCCGCCACTGTGAAGACCACCAGCAGAGACAGAGAGAGCCTTCCGTCAAACGTCTTGAGCTCGTGAGTGCTTTATTCCCTTCTGAAGGAGTGCTATCGGCGACTACAGTCTGTCACCAGGATACCCTTCGATTCCAATGGGACCTTGCGCTGCTTGCCCAGGTATCGGAGGTTTGTGGGGTGCAGCAGGATGCAGGAAGATTTTTACATGAGCTTAGAACTTTGAATCCAGGGCAGAAGTGCTGTAAGTCAGGTTGCTATACTCATGAAGTCACCTCATGCTTGGCGCAAGCAGAGTTCGGGCTAGAGTCGGGTATACAAGAGCTGGAGCTTCTGATTCATGAAGCTTTGATGATACCGCAAGCCGAGTGTCAAGGCACGATGCCCGTTCAGAGCCTTGTTGGGATTTCGCTATTCCACATCTCGCAGTATGCAGGGGCGAGCTCGCCCAGCAACCCTAAGCTCCAAACTATAACTGCTTAGAAGACCTGCAGCAGCATCTATCAGCTATCATACGTCCTACAAGTCCCATGAACATCTTTGCTTTTGGATTCTACGTACACTCGCAAGTGAGGCGTTAAAAGAACCGGCCTGCACGGTGATGCTTTATGATGCTTTCGAACTTGGTCGTGCAAAGAATCTCTGAAAACCGGAACGAAGCCCTGTTCCAATCGTCAGACAGAAAGCCTGGGCATCATTCATCCCTCTCGCCATGTCTCACCCCAAGCTATCGAAGAAGTTGAGGGATGCCTTCTCCCAGGAAAGCACCAAGAAGCTGTGGCCACCCTTTTGAAGATGCCCGGCTGATGTTTCCGGTTGCAAAACATCGCAGCGGTTTGATGGTCTGGGTCGCAAAGGTAGGACGGCAATGTAGCGAAATCTGGGGTTATCGGGGAAAGAAGACAGCCTCAATACCTCAACTCCGAAGTCGTCGACCTGATCACCAGACACAATTCAGGTTGGGACAGTCTCTCGCCCTGAAGCTGCATCCCTGAAACTTTTGGTTTTCAAGGTCCTGAGGGCATTTTTTTATGTACTTGTTCTTTGCAGGTTTCGAGCTTGTCTGGTCCAAAAGAATATCGGGGTCAGTTCTCTGAATGTGGCGGCTCTCAGGCAGAATCTCCCAAAGACGAACGAGGCAGGGACAAGTGACAACGTAGACTTAGACTTACCGAGGTTTAGGTGGCGTCTCTTTGAATTTGTTGAGGGCTTTGGCGCTCGCTGTTTTTTGGCATAAAAAAGCTTACCTATTTTAAAGTTGTGCCTCTAAACGGGGTGCCCCTTCGACCAGGTGTTGGTGTCCTGTCCTCTTTCCAAAAAATGCTTATCTAGATTTTTGATATCGACAGGACGATAGTGAACAGGTAGGGACGTAGTGGGCACCCCTGTCGTATCCCAGCAGCTACGTTCCCGGTAATCGTACAGCGAAATAACTAGATTTGGGCTTGCATTTTCCGGTCTTCATTGCACCGGGTCCTGAAAGCGAACTACGAAGCTTCTGACTCGAAAGCTTCGTAGACTCAAGTGGAGCACGGAGACACTTTAATCAACCCGATCAGGCTTGAGGGCACCTACGACCCTTCAGGCCCCGAACAGTTCGGGTTTTGAATTTCCTGGCTGCGCACAGCGGGCATAGAGCCAAAAGACCACATGTCTCCAGGAGGCCGACAAGCATGCCGATGTCGTCATCCTCGGTGCTGTGAGCAGCTCCGAAGGCAAATTCACTTGCCAGGCGCTGCGGATGGTGCGTTGTGAAGCTGCTGAACGTTAGGACGTTTCGTGGTTCCGGCAAGGTGCGCTTGAGTTAGCAACGAACAGCCCGTGCGGGCCAGTTTCTTTGGGCCAAGCATATCCAAAACCCTAACATGAGAGTTGTGAGAGTTTCTGCTTGAAGAGTGGCATATCTCCAGAAGCAGCTACTTGCATGCGATTCATCGAAGTGTTTTGAAGGTGTTGGCTGACAATGTCATCCACCGCACTGCAAAAAATGCAGTGTTGGTGTGCAGTTCAGAAGACGCGGTTCAAGCCAGTGCGAACCTCGACGAAACCATGAGGGTTGCCGCTGTTGGGTATGAAGATGCTGGAACAGGCAGGCTGTCTGACTCGACATAGTCGCCGCTCATAGCGAAGTCAGCAGTTGGAATGTACGTCTTGTATGCTGGCAGAAGCGCCCGGAAATCCTATGCTGCCGCTTTACCATTGTACGGGGATGAGCTGCCCTGCTCTCATGCCTTGGGCAATGATCCAATGCAACTGGCAACCCTAGGATTCAACGGCTGATATGCTTTATAAGAGTCTCTCCAAAATCCCTAGCATGTGTTTGGTCAAATGTTTTGGAGGGTCAAGAAGTCAAGAAGTGCAGCCGAGGACAGCCCAGTACATGTTGGTGGTGTTGAGCGGCGGAATTCTGCAGGATGACACATTCCTGGCCATGCTTGAGGCTGACAAGTCCTAAATTCCTGGATCGCTTCGAGATTCCTTTTCAGATCACTGCGTTTGTGAACTACAGGGCATTCGGGCTTGAGGAGTTCTACCCTAGCTTTGGTGCCTGCTCCTTACAAGTCAAGCTCTTGACGCCCAAACCTGTTCTTCCTCTGAACCTCGGGCTAAGGGTTCTTCAATGGAGTCAGAAGTAACAACCCAGAGTGCATGCACCTATCTACGTCGCGGGCCGCCCGCACCCCAAACCCAAAACCATGTCCCGCAAGATCAATAGCTCGGCCATGAACCCGAATCCTTTGAACGAACAGGCTGTGGACACGGCTTTCACCGACCAACTGGAGATTGTGAGCGCTATTGCGGACCAGAGCTTTGAGTTCCCCTCCGCGAACTATTTCCAGGCGGCCCACAAAAAGCCAACGAAAACACCGCCGAAAGGACGAGGAGTAGCACTAGCAGTGGTAGTAGTAGTAGTAGTAGTAGTAGTAGTGGTGGTGTCGTCGTGGCCGGCGTCCAATATCCCCACATATATTTACAAGATGCGCACTTGTAGAAGTGATGGTGACGATGATTGGGGCTTCGCGGTTTGATCGCAGCTGACCGTGTCGGAGCGTGGAGCATCGGAGTTTCGAACTGTGCCAGCAGCTGGCGAACCCGTGTCTGAGAGAGAGGGAGGGAGAGAGAGAGAGAGAGAGAGAGAGAGATGCGGGATTCATGTTTTGGATGTTTATCCGGGTTCTTGCTCAGTGATTGATTGGACAGTACCCAACAGAAAGCAAAGCAGTGGCAAGTGCAGCGACAACAAGACATGGAATTGGACATGGCGATGACGGTTATGAAGAAACAGAGTATTTCGGGCCTTTCGGGTTTGGGGTTGAGGATGTTTAGCAGGGTTTTTAGTTTGGGTTTGAGGTGTTGTTTCCAGCATTGCGCCAAGACTTCGAGAGCTTGGGCGCAGCTCGTTTCCTGATTTCAACCCATGAGGACATTGCTCAGGTAGTCTCTTGGCCCGCTTCTGAATGTGAGAAAATCTTGAGTTGCAAAAGCAGAGACGTCTCGCTAGCTTTTCCAGGCGCTAGTGGAGAAGGGCTCGAAGAACCTCGAGCAGTCAGCCACCTCCCCAGCTGAAGCCACAAACCGGAAAGGTACAGTGGGTTTAATTGGAATAGGCTTTCGTGGCATTGTTTCCTATAAACACAAAGGGACGACAATAGTATCAGCAACTATTCCGACTTCAGTATTACAGCATTTCATCCCTGATTCCTACAAATGTCGGTGTGTAAAGGCATGCAGTACAAGCCGATGCCGGCTGGAGCTCTCAAACTGAACTTGAACTTGAGCCAAGTTTCATACTTGAGCATGTGGAGGTCTGGCTCAGAGGTGGGCTGTCTCATGGCCCAAAACTCTTCTCATCCCACCGGCTTCCCAAACGCAAGGGCTCTAAATGTCGAACCCACTCATCCAGTAGTCTGAGCCAGTTTTCAAAGACGCGCACGTCACTGAAAACAAGGAAGGGCTTCGTCATGGTTTTAGAGGCTCAGTTCTGACTCAAGGCTGCGATAGGCCCGGGGTACTCCACTAGTGGTTGAATAATTCTGACAAGCACCAGTTTTGAAGTTCGCATGGCAGAAGAGCCCCCAGAACCCTAGTTTATTCCGTCTGCCACTGATATACAGTTTTTTTTGAAGTAGTTTTGGACTGCGCATGGGTTTCACATAGGGATCGAGTGGATGCCCAGTTAGGTTGAGGGCTTCGCCAGTCAAACACTCTCAGACCTTGGCCCCTTACATCCCCTCCAACCTGAGAACTGAGGTCCGACGAGTGGTGAACATCCTGGCCCTGCCATTTAGCCCACAAGTCTCGAGCAAGGCGACTTGATGCGAAATGTCGTTTGGGAGCGATTGAAGTCTTAAGTGCGTGGGGCTGTGTGGGGTCGAGGCCTTAGTGAACTTCTTTGCGCAGGCTTCAAAGTTGCTTGCTGGGTGCTGCAGTTGGCTCGCAGCATCGTTGTCCTAGCGTGCTCTCGAAATCCAAGCTCGGCTCGACGTCTAAAGCGCTCTGACCACCAGCCAGGGCCGCCATTCTGGGGTTCAGAATTGAGAGAACCAGCATGACCATTCTCATTATCGCTGGTCCTCGGGGGGCCGGTGCTCCCCAAATTGGAGGTTTTTCCCGGTCAATAAACCATAAACCTTCGCTTCTAGTAATTCGAGCAAGACTTGCTGCTACTACGACAACGGTGACGACGACGATCGCCACAGTTCGCCATATCGCTTGTGTAATTGCCAGTGAAGCAAGAGCATTATTGCAAACAACCACCAGGTGCTCAGTGCACAGGCAGATGAGCTTTGCCGACGATTCCGCTTCAAGGACATGGATTCCGCGTGTCAAAGTTGAGAGGGAGGGTCTGAAGCCGACAACCCGAGACACCAAAGGCCGGAAACCTGTCAACATATAGGGTTGAGGGTTCGGGATTTCGACCCATCCTAAGTGCTGATTGCGCCCAGGGGTGGGTGATAAACGTGCACACACGCATATGGCACATGAACCTGCTGCTCGTAGAGGTTCCGCTAGACATCTGTGAGGTTATTAAGTATGTGCTACTTTTTGATGGGGTGGTTTTCATTTGCAAGCAGTGCAGTATCCAATTCCTGCCGCCACTTGCATTCCGGCCACCTGCCACACAGCTTGTTGCTTAGACATCCTAGAGCAGTTTGAACTGTTCATAGGAAGAGCTTGACAAGTTTTGGCCTCGGGAAAGCCTGAGATTGAAAGCTTGATCTTGCTGGCGAGGGGTCTTATCTTCGCATGTGCTTCAGGGTTTAGGGGGTGATGTGTTCCGGGCGAACGAAGCCTGCTGCAAAAGGGAGTGATGTGATCATGTATGTGTATGCACGAACGTGCTTGTACGTGCATATGTGTATGTGTATGCACATGTGTTTACTTTCTTTTCCCAGGCGGTTTACTCTTGTGAATTCGAGGAGAATGCCGATGTTTCAAGCTGAGGCAAGGAGTTTTCCTGCTTGCCTCCCCTTGCCTCCCTTCATATGGGACCCGTGGGGTGGGGGGGTCACTGCCAGTGTTCTCAACGCTTGTCTCCCCTTGTCTCCCTCCATTTGGGACAAGCGGGTCTGGCCACGGGATGTTCGACGCTTGTCTCCTATCTCCCATCAGTTTGAGAAACGTGAGCACGCCGCTCGAATGAGATCAGAGAATTCGAGAGAATGAGAAGGAGAAGTAAACCATCGAGATCACCTTGATTAGAGTGTGAGAAAGAAAACAACTTGTTCGTAACAGGTTGGAAAATTTTTTCAATGAGGCGACATTGAAAAAGATGAACAAGCCAGTCGGAACAGCAAGAGAACTTGAAGAATAGAGGCGAACTCGAGAGAGATCGCAGCATTCTCAACGAGAGTTTGAGAAGGAGGATCAAACACCAGACAAGTTTAGAAGGAGAAAGAAACCACTCAAAAGATACTAGAAAGTTTAAGTTCTACCAAAGGGATTGCAACGATTGAGAAACAGGAACGGACTCCTGGAAAGAGGTTCTAGAAATTGACAAAGAAAATCGAAGAGTTTGAGATTGAGGAGCAAACCAATCGAAAGAAACCTAGTAAATTCGAAACCTCAGAAGAATTCGAATAGACTAGAGACTTTCAGAAGGAGAGAAGTCAACCAGCAGAAACAGAGCAGACATATTCAGAGAGCAATCCACTCGAGAATGATTTGGGAAGTTGGTTGGCACAATTTGAAGAGCTTTTCAGCTCAAAGGGATAAGCAAGTGAAGAAAGTGCAGCAACCCGCCAAAAACGTTGACAATGATTGTAATGGAGATTTGTAGCAAACCCGTCGAAAGAGACTGCTGGAATTCAGAGATGGCGCAAACCGCTCGAAAAGAGACCGGAGAATCCGAACGCTTGAAAAAGACACCAGAAAGTCTGACAAGAAGAGAGAAAACCCGCCGAAGGGATTACAAATTACAATATTTGATCAGCACGCGCGAACTGTTTGAAAGATATCAGAGAATTGTTCAAAGATGAGGTTTTCAGAGACAAGGACAAAGCAGTCGAACGGTAGGTACTACAACATGATAGAAAGGGTAGTGAACAGCGTGAAAGAAATCAGGAGCAAGCACGTCGAAAGGTTTTAGAGAAATGAGCAAACCTTTCGAAGGTGACTATGGTGATTAGAGCAGAATATGAGACAGAGGAGCAAACCCACCGAAGGGTCGGAAAGGGAGTAGAAGTAAAAGAAAGCCGCCTGAAAGAGATTTGGGACAAGAAATTGACAACGGAGAAAATTTGAGCTGGAGGAACACAGCCGATGAAAGATGTTAGACGATTCCGGAAACTGAAGCAAACGGCGCGAAAGCGATGACAAAGAGGAGAATTTGGGAAAGAGGAGCAAGCCATTCCAAGGAGCCAAGACAGAAGCAAAACAGTCGAAACGGAGTACACAAATTGATTAAAACAAGAACGAAGCCAAAGGGGTTCGAAAGAAGATTTCAATCTTTTCAAAGAGGAGCTATTTGAGCATACCAGGCACGCACCTAGAAGTCTGTGCAACCGGAACCAACCGGCCGACAGAGACGAAAGAACCTGACGGAGAGGAGACTTTGAGAAAAACGGGATCAACGCGTTCGAATATATGTTAGAAAATTCCAGCACCGGAGCAAGCCGTTCGAAAGAGTGGCTATTACGAGAGGGAGCTGCGAACCAGTCGACAGGGGTTTTAGTAGCAGCTTCGAACAAAATGTCGAACCGCCCGAGCGAGACCAGAGAATTTGACAAAGGAAGAATCGTTTGAGAAAGAGGAAGTCGAAAAGGATTGTAAACTTGAAAAGAAAAGAGCAAACCGCTCGAAGGAGTCCTAGAGAGCCAGGGGCAAGCTTGCCGAAAAGGATTAGATTTTTTGTTAGGAGGCCAGACAGTTTGAACAAGGATAGAAACTCAGAAAGAGAAGTACCAAGGGAGTTAACCTTTTTATAAACCGGAGAAACCGTTCCAAGCAATGAAAAGAATATGAGAAGAAGCAGCTAGGCAGACCAAAAAGAGCATCTACTTCGAGGAGCAGGAAGGCGGCAAGCCGCTCGAAAGAAATTTAGGGCCCCGACAAAGTAAAAAATAGTAATGTGAAAGCAGTTTCTGATCGAAACCAGTTTAGAAAAGTTGACAAACGTGGAGCGAACGAAACAGACCACTTTGAGAAAGACGAGCAAACCAATTGAAATGGACGAGAAGATTTGTCGTAGAGGGACAAAGCGCTCCAAAGAGGCTAGAGATTTGTGTCTCCCCCCTCGTCACCTTATCTCCCTTCATTTTGGGACCGGTCGAGTGTGCTGTTTTCCCTAAACAGTTTACTGTAGGGTTCCGTCTGGAAAAATCCACAAGCAAAGGTGTTTTGCGCTGTGCCTGGGTGGCGAATTCCAATGTATTCGAGTTTTGTTTCCCACTCTTCATGTGGACTCGCGAAGTTGCGACCAGGTCTTTTCTGGTTTGGCGTAACTGTTTGGAGTCTTCGGTGTAATGTTCAGTGAAAGACAAAGCTTCTGCGAAATTTCGGTGGATTAATGTAGACAGACAAACTGCGAACGTCTGCCGCCTTGTTTGTCGGCCGTGCACTGCAGTGTCGCTTGCAGGAAGCTGCCCAAGCGTGACCCATCCTGCCTGAGAGGACGAAACAGTCAGAAGAACCAGCAGCCTACAGCAACATCCTGTGGTCCCGCATGTGCGTCAAGACGCGCACAAGAAAGAGGAGGCTGGGCTCTGTCTACGCGCAGGAAGCATGGAGCTTGTCAGCTTAAGGCTTTAAGTGTTGTTCCAGGGAGGTCATTCGGGTGCAATCCGTTCGTTGCACTGCACTTGGCTTTTAAACATTAACTCAATCTCCAAATCCTAAGCCCCAAGCCGGAACCCTCGAGCCCCGAACACCAGAGCTTAAGTTGTCCTCGCTGAAGCTCGAGCGACCGTGGGGTCGACGTGGAAGCAAAGTTTGTGGCTTCAGGGCTGGGGTTCCAGAGCCGCGACAGCGGATCCCAGTGAAGCTCATGCATCAGCCAGGCTCCAGAGGCTCCAGCGACCACACTGATGATGCTCAGCTGCACCCCACCACGCCTCAGATTTCTACACCTCACCCAAGTCCTCCAACCCGAATGGCTGAGATTGCAATGCTTACGCGCTTTCCATTTCTTGGGTTGTCCATGGTTTGGGTTTTGCAGTGAGTTGGAACGGTTTCGTGCTGAACCTTACATTTGGGGCAGGTGGGGGCAAGCTGCTCTTGCTCATTGTGTTTCATATGCGACCGGGGCAGGGCAACTGCAGAACTCATCTGAGGAAGGATGCATATGGCATTGTCGTGTCCGATCAGGTATTGACAATGAACATGTGAGTTAAATTCTTTGCACATGAATGCGCTCGTTGCATCGTTTGCACACAAACCAAGAAAAGTTTGGCTGGAACATAGTACACCTATGCTTCGGGCTCCCAAGAGCACGACAATTCGAACGTTCCTGTGTGCCGCGGTAGATGAGAGCGGGCTTCTCCTGATGGACAGGCCTGATGACTTTTGAAGTTTTCTGCCAAGCCTCTGTGAGGCTGTCTAACATTGCCGCTTTCGGCTTTGCTGTGACCTGCATGTACGGGTTCATGCACTTTCTGGCTGATGTGCGTTAACTTGTTAGACCTGCAGAAGAAGACTGTAAGCATGGCAATACAACATAGGACATTCGGACCGATACACATCGCGCTGAGGGCACGAGAGTCGCAGCCCGCAACACCTGCTGTGTTGGGGAGAACTGTTTGAGCCATTTTGGCCTCGTCCGCAGCCCAGAGGGCGCGGACACACTGTTGACAGTCTTGACAGTCTGGTCAACCGTCAACTCCACATCCGGGCAAGAAGCCGATTGTTTTGTTGACACAAACATCGAAACGCAAGCGGCAACAACGTTTTCGTTCCAACGACCAAGCACACGCAAAAAGATATCTCCTGATAGGGCGACATACAAGCTGTTTGACATAGAACGCTACATGCTTGTCATCTAATTGGGGATCTAATCCCTGGTTCCTTGCAGAATATTTTCGTATTCGACTTGTGTCTGCAAACTTAGTATAATGATATCGATGCAATCACATAAATTCAGCAGTCAATCCTAATTTGTAGCCTCGATTAATTGAAACGTCATTTTGATTAATTTGATTTCATTGATCTTATATAGAATATAAATGAGATAATAGAGATTTGAAAATTAATAAATATTATGCAAATAATTCAAAAGAAAAAAAAATATATATATATATATTTATTTATTTATATCTATAGATCATCTTTATATTTTCTAATATATTATTCTATTTTCAAAATTATTTATATCG